ATATGGTCACCTTCCTTAAAAAGCAAATGGACATTATAAAGTCACCATTGACACAAACTGTCTGCTTTAGAACTTTTCCCTAATTGTAGTCTGCAGATATTCTTTTTTTTTTTTTTATTTATTTATTTATTTTTTGACAGGCAGAGTGGACAGTGAGAGAGAGAGACAGAGAGAACGGTCTTCCTTTGCCGTTGGTTCACCCTCCAATGGCCGCCGCGGCTGGTGCACTGCGGCCGGCGCACCGCGTTGATCCGATGGCAGGAGCCAGGTACTTATCCTGGTCTCCCATGGGGTGCAGGGCCCAAGCACTTGGGCCATCCTCCACTGCACTCCCGGGCCACAGCAGAGAGCTGGCCTGGAAGAGGGGCAACCAGGACAGAATCCGGTGCCCCAACCGGGACTAGAACCCGGTGTGCCGGCGCCGCTAGGCGGAGGATTAGCCTAGTGAGCCGCAGCGCTGGCCTGCAGATATTCTTGAAGACACAATCATTTATCACATTTTGATATACTAATGTCCTGACAGCAGCGTTTTTATGTTGAATCATTGAAATGGTTATCTTGCGGCTTGGTGTGGCTGCATGGCTGTTTGGCCACTCCTGGGTTATGCCATGTACAGGTGCCATGCACTGCCTGCCCTGGAGGACCTCATGCCCAGTGGTGGGCACTTCCTGTTGTATGCCTGAGACTCTGTGGCAAGGGAGGGTTGATATACCTTTGCAAAGGATTCCACTTTTTTTTTTTTTAATTAGATTTATTTAATTGAAAGGCAGAACAACAGAGAGAAAGAAAGAGGGAGAGTCCTCCACCCCACTGGTTCATCTCCACAAATGGCCACAACAGCTAGGTCTGGGCCAGGCTGAAGCCAAGAATTCCATTCTCGTCTCCCAAGTGAGTGCATGGGCCCAAGTACTCAGGCCATCTTCTGCTTTCCCAGGTGCATTAGCAGGGAGCTGGATTTCTTGAGTTTTTTTTGTTTTTTTTTTTTTTCCCCTGGCGTTAGCTTGGCCCAGAACTGGCCGTTGCAGCCATTTGATCCCTCTTTCTCTCTGCTTCTCCCTAACTCTGCCTTTCAGATAAATAAATAAATCTTTAAAAAATAATCTGGATTTTTTTAAAATGGCATCTGTCAAAAAATAGCTCCCCAAATTATTCTGCTAGTTTACTAAGGAACCAAAATTAATAAAGGTGACCTTTATTTTAAGAATACCCAGGGGCCAACACCGTGGCTCACTTGGTTAATCCTCCGCCTGCAGCACAGGCATCCATAAGGGCGCCAGGTTCTAGTCCCGGTTGCTCCTCTTCCAGTCCAGCTCTCTGCTGTGGCCCAGCAGGGCAGTGGAGGATGGCCCAAGTGTTTGGGACCCTGCACGCACATGGGAGACCAGGAAGAAGCCCCTGGCTCCTGGCTTCGGATCAGCATAGCTCTGGCCATAGCGGCCATTTGGGGAGTGAACCAATGGAAGGAAGACCTTTCTCTCTCTCTCTCACTGTCTGTCTATAACTCTACCTGTCAAATAAATTAAAAAAAAAAAAAAAAAAAGAATATCCAGCATAGCGGCTGACACTGGGGCGTAGTGGGTGAGGCCACTGCCTGCAGCACCAGCATCCCACTGGGCACTGGTTTGAGTCCCGGCTGCTCTGCTTCCAATCCAGCTTCCTGCTGGTGTGCCTGGGAAGGCAGCGGACAATGGCCCAGGTGCTTGGATCTCTGTACCCACATGGGAGACCTGGAAGGGACTCCTGGCTCTGACTTGGGACCAGTCCAGCCCTGGCCATTACAGCCATTTGGCGAGTAAGCCAGTGTGAGTGTAAGATCTCTCTGTCTCTCCCTCTCTCTCTGGCTCTGCCTTTCAAGTAAATCAATCAATCAAAAAGGGAGAAAAAAAGAAAACCCAGCATAGACCAAAACCAACCAATATGTTAATTAGAAAAAAAGATCAAGTTACAGAAAAAATACTTCTTTTCCTTCAAAAACTTAATGTTGGTGAGTTTCCTAATATATATGAATTCTTTTTTTTTTTTTTTTTAAGGACAGAGTTACAGAGAGAGGTAGAGACAGAAAGGTCTTCCATCTGCTGGTTCACTCCCCAGATGGCCGCACCGGCCAGAGCTGTGCCAATCTGCAGCCAGGAGCTAGGAGCTTCTTCTGGGTCTCCCACACGGGTGCAGAGGCCCAAAGACTTGGGCCATCTTGTACTGCTTTCCCAGGCCATATCTGAGAGCTGGACTGGAAGAGGAGCAGCTGGGACTAGAACCAGCGCCCATATGGGATGCTGGGGCTTCAGGCCAGGGCTTTAACCCACTGCGCCACATGAATTCTTGAGTTAGAAAAGTTTTTATTTGCATGCATCATTTTCTCAGTTGCATCTTTGGTCCAGGCCTATTCCCAGATTCCCCAGGTGTGTGGGAAAGGTGACTTGGTGTTGGGATTGTGCAGCTGTAGGAATGAAAGCACTCTACTTTCTTCATTTCTGGACGCAGCTTGGGCTCGGACATAAATACCACTGTTTGACTTCATTCCAGAAGGAGATGTCTGCTTGTCGCTGTTTCCCTTTGTGTGAGGACAATGACAACGGATGAAATTACAGGCTAGAATATGAGAATGTTAAGTAATGCTGTGAAATCCCAGAGCTTCCTTTATTCTATTCAGAAAGATGAATAAACAAATGTAAAATCATCCAAGGACAAAAATGAAAACAAGAATTGATGGAAATTTAACGTTTTTTTTTCTGAAATGGAAATGGCTGTTATATCATCTTAATATAAACATAGTAACTGCTTTTAGAATGTTACCCATACAGAGCTGCAGTAGGGGGAAATGCCGCAGTAATGGGCCACCCCAACCCGAGGAAAGCCTCTGAGCATGATGCTGGGGCAGGGTGCCCCTGTGGAGTGACCACATCAAGACAGAGAGGGAGCAGAACCTTCCTGCCCGTCACTGACCAGCTCCCCGACAGCTTGCAGCCAGCTGAACACCCAGGTGCCTTTGCGACCCCCAGGGTGGACCTGCTATAAACTGATGGCACCCAGGTTCCAGCAAGGTCACGTGATGGCAACATTCATATACTGCCAGGCCCCCATGAGATGCAGCAGGCTCCCTCCCTCACTTTGTGTGTCCTGTTCTCATGGTGGTGGTCACAGATATTTGTATCCCTGTCTCATTTCCACAGACAGGGAGCCAGTCTCCAGGGCTGTCAGGCCGGCCGCTGGGGCATTCAAACCCACTTGGCTCTGTCCTCAAAGCTCACACTCCCTCCAGACCGCTGTCACCTCCACCCAAAGGCAAACACCTGGGCCCTCCTTGGAAGAGGCTCAGCTCCCTGGGCATGCACTGTCCCCTTGGGGGGGACAGCAGCACAGGGACCTTCGGGACCATGTGGTTTATCTCATGAGCCACCAGGTGTCTCTGCGACCAAAACAACTGAGCCCAAATTCTCTTTACCATTTTCTCATGCATCTAGAGATTCAAATAAACTTGATCTTGCAAACACTAAGGGGAAGGGTGAGAGGGTGGAGCTTAGCCCTGGTGCTTGGATGCCTCTATGTTTAACACCTATATGAGGGTACTTCAAAAAGCCTGTGGAACATGAATTTAAAAATAGGTTTATTTGGCTCTAAAACTTTTTTAAAAGATTTTTATTTATTTATTTGAGAGGTAGAGTTTCAGGCAGTGAGAGGGAGAGACAGGGAGAAAGGTGTTCCTTCCGTTGGTTCACTCCCCAAATGGCCGCAACGGCCGGAGCTGTGCTGATCCGAATCCAGGAGCTTCTTCCCAGTCTCCCATGCGGGTGCAGGGGCCCAAGCACTTGGGCCATCTTCTGCTGTTTTCCCAGGACACAGCAGAAAGCTGGATTGGAAGGGGAGCGGCCAGGACTAGAACTGGCCCCTATATGGGATCTCGGTGCTGCAGGCAGAGGATTAACCTGCAGCGCCACAGTGCCGGCCCTGTAAAACATTTTGAAAACTATGCATACTCATACCTGCATTCCAGAATTGCAGAGCCTCCTCATGGTTGCATTTAGCTGTACAGAGTACATGCTGGGATGACCTGGAGTTGCCGCGTTTATCTTTATCATCCTGTGGATCTAGGATTTGTATTATGTATGCTTACCAATTTGTATAATATTTTTAAAGGCTTGAACATTAAAATAAGAAGTCATTGAAGGGCTCACAACATTTTCAGTGGTTCTCAACTCTAAGTTCTAAGACTTGTCTGTAAGACTCCATTCCAACGTGCTGGACAGAAGTCTGTGCTTAGCTGTCAGTGGCAAATCTGGTACCCTGATGGCCTAGAGGAGCCTCACCGAGGAGGATTTACCTGCTCTGGGCCTCTCTTTTCTCATCTTCTTGTTGAGAACTGTCCCCTTTACTTGCCCGAGTTTTGGAGACTGAAAGGGCAGTCCACAGGAAACCCCTCGCACAAGTACAAGGTGATGGATGGAATGTGTCGTCCACCCCCTTGAGAGCATCCTGCTTATGACAAACCTAAAGCATGTTTTTTTCCAGGGGCTTTGGCAGCTGCAGGTTACAGTGCAGACATGACCAGTCCAAGAACCACAACATGCACAACCACTCCCTAAAATGGCAAAGAAATGGCATCAAGAAACTCAGATCAGGGCTGGCGCTGTGGCTTAGTGGGTAAATGCCTGCAGTGCCGGCATCCCATATGGGCGCCACTTTGAGTCCTGGCTGCTCATCCTCCAATCCAGCTCTCTGCTATGGCCTGGGAAAGCAGTGGAAGGTGGCTTGAGTGCTTGGGCCCCTGCACCCACCTGGGAGACCTGGAAGAATCTCTTGGCTCCTGGCTTCAGATCAGCCAGCTCCAGCCATTGTGGCCATTTGGGGAATGAACCAGCAGATGGAAGATTCTCTCTCTCTCTCTCTCTCTCTCTCTCCCTCCCTCCCTCCCTCTCCCCGTAACTCTGCCTTTCAAATAAATAAATCTTTAAAAAAAAAAAAAAGACAGAAACTCAGATTACAAAGACAAATTTCTAAAAGGGATGGACCCCACATTCCTGAGGAATGTGCATTTTGACAAGAAGCACAAGAAGGGCCTGAAGAGGCAGACCAACAATGCCAAGGCCATGAGTGTACCTGCTGAAGCTATCGAGGCCTTTGTCAAGCCTAAGCAAGTTAAGCCCAAGATCCCAAAGGGTGTCAGCTGCAAGCTCGATCCATTTGCCTACATCACCCACCCCAAGCTTGGGAAGCATGCTCATGCCCCCATTGCCAGGAGCCTTAGCCATACTAATCCTCAAATCAAGGCCAAGGCCCAGGCCGCACCTGCAGCCCAAGTTCTGGCTCATGTTCCCAAAGGTGCCTACTAACATCATTTGCCTGCCAATGCAAGGGCAAAAGGACTGATGTGACCCCTGGGCTGTTGTCTGTGTGGGGCTAGTGTCCTCCTGTGCTGTTTGTACAAATAAACCTAAGACAGGGTCAAAAAAAAAAGTGACCTGAGGGCTCAGCTTTCTCATCCATCTCACAAGGCTGCTGGGAGGACGTGGGTGAGGCCACCCAGGGGGAAACACCCGGAATAGTGCCTGGCGTTTCCTGAGTGTGATGCACAGGTTGCCTGCTGTTGTCATCGTCATGAATGGTAGTGGTTGTGTTCTAGAGGGAGGGGGACGCACTTGGCCTTTCCATCTCTCGCAGGTCAAAGACGTCTTTGTGCCGGTGTGTTCTGTGCCGACAGCAGAGGCAGCCCCTCCTTCGGCTCTGCCTCTAAGACTTGGTGCCCTGTTCTCAGAGGTTTGCTTGACAAGGAGCGAGGCACTCCCAGCTAGACCCCTGGCTCTCTTGGCTCCCTAGCATGTGGAAGGACATTGTGATGGGAGGCCTCAAGAGGGGGGAGGGGGTGGGCTTGAAAAGCACTGGCCTTGGAGGTGGGCAGACTTGAGTTCAGAACTCGGCTCTGCCCCTTGAGGAAGTGAATCTGCCTTTCTGAACTGCAAATTGGTGTGAAATGAATTAACTGCCCTTTCACTGGCTTCTGAAGGTTCCATGGAACTGGATACGTGAAACACTAACACAGTGCCTGGCATGCAGTAGAAGACAGTCATTGTGAGAACGGCACCAAGGCCTCCCCCACGAGGGACTGTGGAGTGGAGAGACAGGGCTGAGAGGCTCTGGGACTGTTACCGAGAATGATGCTGGAGAGGGCCAGCGCTGTGGCATAGCGGGTGTGGCCGCTGCCTGCAGTGCTGGCCTCCCATTGGGTGCCGGTTCGAGTCCTAGCTGCTCCACTTCTGATCCAGCTCTCTGCTATGGCCTGGGAAGACAGTGGAGGATGGCCCAAGTCCTTGGGCCCCTACACCCACGTGGGAGACCCGGAAGAAGCTCCTGGCTCCTGGCTCCAGATCAGCCCAGCTCCGGCCATTGTGGCTGATTGGAGAGTGAACCAGTGGATGGAAGACTTCTTTCTCTCTTTCTCTCTCTGCCTCTCCTTCTCTCTCTGTGTAACTCTGCCTTTCAAATAAAAAATAAATCTTAAAAAAAGAGAGAGAGAGAGAGAATGATGCTGGTGCATGGTGGTACTTGGAAAAAGTGATAATAAAGGATACTAGTGCATAGGAGCTGTGGGAAAAAAAGTGATTTTTTTTTAAGGCAGAGACCGAGATCTTCTATCTATTGTTCATTCCCCAAATGGCTGGAACAGCTGGAGCTGGGCCAGGCCGAAGCCAAGAGCTTCATTTGGGTCTCCCACATGGATGGCAGGGGCCCGAGCACTTGCGTCATCGTCCCCTGCCTTCCTAGTTGCATTAGCAGGGAGCTGGATCAGGAGCAGAGCAGCAGGGACCCAACCCTGCTCTGGTAATGGCTGCCAGTATTGCAAAGCTGCATCTTAACCTGCTGTGTCACCACACTAGTCCCAGGATTTTTTTTTTTTTTTTAAGATTTATTTATTTGAAAGGCAGGGTGACAGAGCGAGAGATGAAGAGATCTTTCATTTGCTGGTTCACTTCCCAAATAACCATAATGGCCAGGACTGGGCCAAGCTGAAACCAGGAATGGAAGCTAGGCCACAGGGGCCCGAGTAAATACTAGGCATCCCAGCACTCACACCGGATGCTGGCTGGCATCACAAGCAGGGGCTTAAGCTGCTGGGCCATTGGCTGCCTCACTCCCCCGCAGTCCCTCTCTGTGATTTCTTTGTAATGTGTCATTTCAGCCTGGGTTCGCAAGGCGAGCTCGTGTCTCGTTCAGCCCACCTGCGTTATATTTAGTCCTTTAATCATCTCACCCATCTTCTCTGATCTTATTTTCCTTTTCTTCAGGCTAGAATCACATCATCTTCAGGTATGGTTTCCTAAAGAATGAACTCATTTGGGGGCTAAAATAGACAGTCTTGCTCTGCTATTTCTGATGACCCTTCCTCAAAGGCTAACTATAGCCCCGCACGGTGGGGGAGGTGTTGCCTTCACAGAAGTGCGGGCCCTGGCACGTGGGAAGAAAATTCAGAATCACCTGCATTTAATAGCACGTTGAGGAGGGTATGGGAGGCAAGAGCAGTGAGAGGAGCTTTGCATCATGCGTGGGTGCGTGTGTGTGTGAGAGAGAAAGTCTTAAACCTGTTTTCTCCTTCCTATTCAATGCTTAGAATTAAGGCTAAAATCAAAGTGAATCCAACTACATGTTGGCATGTATTACTCATGGAAACCTAAGAGAAGCTTACACTGCTAGCCTCTGGCTTTGGATACACTAATATGGGGTCTGGTGGGGTTTCCTGGGAAGTAGGAAAATAGCAGATGCCTCAGGTTGGGGCTTGTGTTACACTCAATGCCCCACGGGTCTCTAGCCGCTGCTGTAATGTCACCTGTGCTTTCTGTCTCTTATTCCACCTTTGGAAATGGCTGCATTCCACCGACTCCTCTCACCTCACCCCTACCCAACCTTCTCTCTGTATCTGGCACCCCCCAACGCCCCACCCACACACACCCCAGCCATGAAGAGCCCTGCTTATGCTTTGCCTTGCACGTGCTCTCCCCTTCTCCTGAGCTGGAAAGCGCCGGCTGTCACTAATCCCCCAATGCTAGTACCTGCTACATCCATTGTTTTCCTCCTGTTGTGTCCTCGCAGCAGTAGAATGGAAAGACCCGTGAATTCTGCCCTTTGCCCTAGGAAGTGGATCTCCCTGAGGAACCTGGCCTCACCAGGTGACTGGGAAGTTCGCAGAGCAGACACCTGGGCCCCCGCTGAGTGAGGGCAGCAGCCACTGTATTTGTCACACGTCACACTGGGAGGAGCACACAGCAGCTGTATTTATCACTCCTGCAAGGAGTCCTGTGGGGATTCGGCCCTGCCCTCAGGCGCAGCAGTATCAGAAGGGGCCCTCTCCAGGGAAGAGGAAGGACCAGAGATGGTGGGATGATGGAGGCTGAGATGGAAGGGACGTGGGAAGAGGGGAAAGCCCCACAGAGCTGGGGAAGGCAAAAAATGGGCCCTCCCCTGGGGCTCCCGGAAGGACCCAGCCCTGCTGACATCTGTTGGCCAGTAGGACCCTCTGGACTTCCCTCCTCCAGACTGTTGGGAGGCTCCATGGTGCTGTCTTCAGCCACGAAGTTTGTGGCGATTTGTTCCAGCAGCAACACAAATCTCACCCACTTACCACCCACCGTGGCCCAGCGGTCCTGGGGGCAGGGAGCAGGATCCTTTTTCTCTTTGCCAGAGAAACTTCCCAAGCAGCTTGGCCGTGCCTGGGTTATAAACGGACTTCTGTGCTCCCCCACGGTGGGGGCACCTCCCCACTGTGACAGGTGACTCAGAAGTTTAAATTGTCTGCAAAATATAGCACGCCCGGGTGGCTATAGAATATAGGTTATTTTGCTTGGTTGTTTTAAAAGCAGGACATGTTCTTCATAAAAATATACGTTGGTTTGTAACTGGCCTATTTCTGGCTTCTGTACCTCTGCTTGTTTGATAACAGCCCGGGCCACCAAATTATGGTTTCCCCTGCCTTCTCCTGGCTGCAGCCACAGGATAACACAGGTGGCACCAAGGTCAGTGACGCCATGCCTGACCCCGACAGGGAACAATTGAATCGTTACATTTAAAAAAAAAAAGTTAAAAAGAAGCTGGCTGATTGGCTAACCTCTTCTCGCTTCTGTATGCCTGCTTTCTGCTTGCACAAACCCGCACGTGTGATTAAACGATAAGAAGAAAAGGTTTTGCCTTTAAAAATCCCCGCCACTGCACCCAGGGGCTGTCTTCTCCAGGCTTGCTCTGTGAGAGGGCAGTTGCCAGCTGGCTAATCAAGACTCCTGATTTGACCTCAAAAGTCTCGCTGTGCTTTTAATCTGTGCGCCCCACAGCACCCACCCACCAGCAAGCACGCAGCTCTGTGACGGTGGACACCAGCCGCCTCTCGTCTGGCCCATTCAGTTCTAACTCTCCCCACCTGGGGACAGCATCCGATCCATCAGAGCCCGTGGGTTGAGGACACAGTCCTCAAGCCTTCAGATGCCTGGGCTGTCACCTGTGTTTCTGACCCAAGCAGTTAGAACCCAGGGTCCCCACATCTCCCTCCTTAGGTTCACTGAATTTGGGAGAGCAGCCCACAGAACTCGGAACACCCAGGTTTACGGCTGATCACAGAGCATACAGGCAGAAGAGATGTGCAGGGCAGGGGACTGGAGAATCCACAGGCCAGCAGGAGCCTGCTGACTCCTGCAACAAATACTAGGTGCTTCCAAGCATTTGTGGAAAATGGGGTTAAAAGATAAGTTTAGGGGCAGGGGTTTGTTCTAGTAGTTAAGATGCTGGTAACAATGGCCACATCCAGTATCAGTGCTTGGGTTCAGTTCCTGGCTCCAGCGCCTGTGGTTCCAGCTTCCTGCAGGTTCAGACCAAGGGAGGCAGCAGCGAGTGCTGGGAGACCCAGACTGAGTTCTGGGCCCCTGGCTACAGCCTGGCCCAGCTCCAGCTGATGCAGGCATTCAGTGAGTGAACCAGCAGGTGGGAGATATTTCTTCTCTCTCTCTCTCTCTCTCTGACTTTAGAATAAATTTTTAAAATGTTTAAAAGTAAGTTTATTTTAGTACAAAAAATTGAATTTTACCATAATTTTCTCCTAACGTACATTTTTCATGAACTTTTCAACCCCCTCCCCCCCCCATCCTTACTAAACTCCTATCATGACTGTAGGTGCTGGGGCCACAGTGTAGAAGTAAACAGGCACCTGCCCTCCAAGAGTTAACATGTTAGAATACAAAGGCAACAATTGTGCAACTGAAGGACAGCTTGTGTTAGTGCAGAGCCCAGTGGGGATCCCGCACTAGAACACTGCAGCTGTGGAGGTGGGGAGGAGAATTTCAGAGGCAGGCAGGAG